AAAGATGTGGGGTTCAGAAATGCTGGCTGAACATGGTAGGGGGAAATGTTTTGGTGGGGGAAGCAGGGTAAGACAGAGGGTAACAAGAAATGAATGTGCACAGAAAATACATGCAGGGATTCACTGCAAATGCATGTGCTAACTTTTTTTTTTTTTTACTTTTCTTGCAGCCCTGTTCTGATTCAGTGCCTTATGAAGAGGCTTTGGCCAATCGTAGAGTTCTTCTCAGTTCCACAGAAAGTCGAGAAGGTCTTGCACAACAGGTAATCTTGGGTAGAGCACGTGTCAAATTTATATGTAAAGCGCGCATGCTCTCTATGTAAACATTGCTTTTATGTTGAAGTCATACAGGCTAAATATAATTAATGTACAGCACTGAATAAACTTCAGTATGAATAATCATTGATTTTTAGCACATCTAATGTTGTGTGCAAGCTAACAATATTACAGATAATTTGCCTTCTCGCAGTTTGCTACACTGTGACGTCTTGTGACTGACTTCAGACTAACACAGCTGACTACCTCTCTCAAAAAAACCCAACCTTTAATTGGATTAGAAGAGAAGGGAATTTGGTTTGGCTGCAGCATAGCTCAAACCATAAATGTGGGAATTTTGTTCTCAGTTGCTAAACAGAGTTTTATGAGTTTTTCTCAGAAGGGAAGTACTAATCTGACAACCTAATTGAACTAATTTGTGAAATTACTGTAATAACTAGTAAGCAGACTTACTGCTAAATGGAATTTATGTTATTAATTGCATCAGCAAAGAATCAAAGGCAAAGAATTATAAAATACAACACTTTGATTCCAGATGAGAGCACAGCTCACTTGCACTGAGAATTAGACAGTTTTGTAAAAAAATAATTGGTTTATGAAACAAATAGCATTCTTCAACACAAGGCTTAATTTAGTTTGTAAATTTACAATCTCTTCATATTGGAGAACTGCTGGGTTTTTTTTTGTATGCTAGCTGAACAGTATTATCCCTAAGGAGGGGTTCTGTTCTCCTATAAACATAACCCTAAAGATAGGGCAGGCCAATAACCAGCACCATGCTGCCTTTCCTTCTTAAAAACAAAAGACCTCTTATTTTGACAAAATTCGGGAATTAAGATATGCATTTTTTTGTGTACCATATTTTTCATTTCTTGCTGAGTGCTAATGTGCTGGTTTTTTTTTTTTAAATCAATCTCTTGTATAATTTTTCAGTTCCTACTGTCCAGAAGTTTCCTCCTCCTGTTGGGTGTGTGTATTTAGCTAGTGTTTTCAATAGTATGCTGTTTGATCTAGCATTTTGGTATTGCCATTTCCTCTCTGGTATTCTTGCCTTCATGCTGCAATAATACACAGTCATTTTATTGAAGAATATTATATTTAAGACTTAATTTTGAAAACTTGTATTTTGCATGAAAATGGTCATGGACAAGAAACAGTGCTGTATACCGGTAAACTTAATTATTTCTCTCTTGGAAACTATGGGACAAGAGAAAGCTAAACAGTGTTTATAGATCTCAAATGGACAATTATTCTTAATACGTATAAATGTGAGAACCAAACATCAATGTTAGACTTCAGTGGTAATCTGACAGCTAGTTCAGAGGTGTGTAGGTCATTAATGAGTTTGTATAAATGATTAATGAGTTTGTATTTCCTGTAGTGCTGTTGTTTGTTCTGAGTGTTACTGTTGAAGAATGACTCCTGATCCTCTCTTTTTTTTTGAAGGATTGCTGCATCTTGACCTGATTTACATTGTGCACGTCTGCTCCTTCTTTCTTTTTTGTTGTTACATGGCTTTTGGGTTCCTAATGTTAAAACTGGAACATGGCTTGCTGCAGCTAGGGATGCAGCTGTTCAAATTTCTGCATGTGATTCTTTTATTCCTGACCTATAGCTGCTCTGGATTTCACTTGAATGGAGGACTGCCAGTTGTGCAAACTGTTGTGGTGTGAGCTGATGTCTACCAGGGACTAATGAAACCACTGAATTTTGTTCCATTCATGACCTAAGCCACATTTCTACCTAGAATGTGGTTCTCTAATCATTAACCTAATGTACCATCTAATTTCCTTTACCTATGTAGCAAGTTTTTGGACAACGTTATCCTTAATATATTTCCTTCTGATTCTACAATTCAGACACTTAACTTCCTTCCTTAAGGTCCAGCAAAGTTTAGAAAAGATTGCAAAACTGGAGCAGGAAAAAGAGCACTGGATGTTGGAGGCCCAGCTGGCTAAAATAAAGCTAGAAAAAGAAAACCAGAAGCTAAAGAGTTCACTTAGTGGGCAGCTGATTGAGCCAACACAAGAACCTTCTGTTTTGTTGAATGCTTCTGAACAACAAAAGGAAGAGGCTATAGAAAGGACTCTGAGGGAGCCTATGAAAAGTACAAGTCTGGTAAGTGACTTCTGTCCAAATGTCTTTATTTTTCAGTATTGAAGGAGACTTATCCCTTTCTACTTAGAAATAGCAGCTTCTTGGCAGTAGTGTTTGAATATAATGATTGGAGGTTTTAATGATTTTCAAAGTTTAACAGAAGTAAAGCACTTGTTGATTCCAAGTCAAGTTGCCTGCAGTTGTCTGTCTTGAAGAATTTGGGTCTTACTAATTTGGCTTACTTTGTTGAGCAGTGTCACTAGTATTACTTAAAGATCCACAGCATTGCTTACTAAAAGGGAGCATAAATACTGAATCTGTGTACTCGTACTGATTTTGAAGAGCTGATGATCTGGAAGAGGTAACTTAGCATTGGCCTGAAATATTTGTATTTCTCCCCATAGTCAGGTACCAATGTAAATACATTTTTTTTTTAGCTGGTTCATGAAATTAATGCATTCTAGGTCAGTAAATTTATCACCAGGATTGCTTCTCTTGAGCTAATTGCATGCATTTGCAACAGGTCTGGAGTTCTCATTATCTGTTAAGCTTAAAATCAGAACTGACTTGCTATTAGACACTTTGGATATTCATGACTTGGTTTTAAAAATCTCTTGGTGTTCTTCTGCACACTCTTCACCTCACTCCTCTGTATTAGTATATCTTTCTTTCCCTTTTTGTGATAGTCTTCACATTCTCTCTTTCTTAGCTTAGTTTTTATGCTGACATTTACCAAGTCATATGAAATTATTTTCACTCTTTTTTTATTGTAACATTTATATTAAGCCAGCTGTTTTTAAAACACAGAAAAGGCATCTGTGGGTTTTGTATGTATTTTTAAATTAGTCATTCTAGGTACAGACCTAGTGTTGGACCTATACCTTTGAACATCTGTGCTCTTTCTAGTTGCTTTTAGAAAGGTGTCACCTACTGTCAGTCTCATCTGAACCTAGATAAAAGGTGGGTGCAGAGGAAGCAGTGATCGAAGCCCAACTTAACAGCTGCATAGGCCAGATGAGTGGCTTGCAGTCAGTTTGAGTGCAACCGTGCATCAGCCCAACACTGCACATGAGCATGATTTAGTGTGCAGGGCTAGAGCAGGGGAATGGTAAGTAATACTGTCACCACTTCCTTACTACCAAATTTCTCGACCCATGGGGAGCCCTGTGGGCTGGATGATATGGCTCCCTCGGCGATTTGAGCACAGCTGATCAAAGGTGTTAAGAGTAGTAGCTGGGTATATCTTCTAAAATTTGGCATCAATGCAGAAGACCTCCCTGCTGTCTGAGATGGAACCATAAGGAAAGCTGCAAAAACATCACCTCTCAAATGCTTTTTACCGTACCCAAGGTTTTCTCCCAGTCAGTATCTTGCATACTGGCACTGTTTTAATTGAGAAACACTAGTGTAACCTAATTTTTACTGTTGCACCATCATTACCAGCTCATGTATGGCTTAAGCTATTTAATTTGTAACAATCCTTGAAACTTTGGTTTAAAAAAAATCTGTAACTAGGGGTCTGTGTGACATGTTAGAACTTGAATCTTATAGTTCTGAGCTAAAGTTTCTTGTTTCTCTCTGGTTCTAGATTGCAATGTTGACCATGACAACTGACAATGAAGAGGTATTTACATTATTATTTAATACCGGTTTGCCTGAATCTTTGCTAATTATAATTAGACAGTATTTAAAATCATCCTGGATCTGCGTGTTATACCAGTATTTGGTGACTCTTGGAATAACTCCATATACTGGTATGGGGTGGGGATGAAGTCTTAAATAGGTTTTGCATAACTACTTCTTCTGACAAGCATCTGTTGGAGTGTTGTTCAGTATACTTTTTTTTTTCTCCACTTCGGTCGAACCTGAGCAGTTGTTCATAACCATGATTCATATTTCTTGTTAAATAAACTTGCTCAAACAGTTTGAGAGTGCAACTCGCATCTAAAAAGTTGTCTGTGGGTCTGGAAAGTATAGGTCTGTGTTTTGTACTTCAAGCTTAGCTCAATTTCAGATTTCATATTACCAAGAAAGGACTAAAGCTGGGGAAGAGTTGGGTTTGTGCATTACCCTAGAAAACCTCTTCTTTACTCCTAAGTATAGTTTATTTTGTACAAACACTAGTAATTAAACTAAACAAATAATCAGACCAAAGGCTCACTTCATTTCCTTAGCAGTGTTATTGTGTACCATTTTCTATCCCAACATGAACCATAGCAGGCTAAAATGTAATATTTTTTCCTGTGTCTGTGTTCATAGCAATGATACATTCAGAGACCATATTGTTTAATGATGGCTTTAGTTTGCCCAACCCAAAATTAATACTTTTGAAATCTGATGGAGTGAGAGGAATTGTTTTCAGGGGGAAATGCAAACAATTTCGGGGGCTTTTTATAAGTCATAATGGTGAGTATAGAGAGACTAGCCATTCTGTTAGACTGTAACATCAAAACTTGAATTCAGGATGATGCAAGCTTAACATGAAAGTTACCCCTCTTCCCCATCTGCTAATTTCTATGAAGGACACTAGAAGTGCAGCATTCCTGCAAAACGAACTTCAGATATTTAAACAAGCCTCTGGAAAGATGGCCCATAATGGTCACTGGCAGCTGAAGCCTGATTATTTGTGGGAATTTCTTCCCTTTGAGAAGCCAAATGGCAGTTGCAGAGTAAGAATTTAGGCTTACATGAGGTCCCATCATGAATTTCTCTCCTTACCATACCACACTTCCCTAATGTGAATTATGACTTCTGAAGTCTACTCCTTGCTCAATTCTATGCAGCATGGGTTGGCAACATGTGGCCCTCAAGCCAGATCTGACGCACTGAACCAGACGTCTTTGCTAATGCCTGTGCTGTAGCTGGGCAGCTGGGGGTTGTTCCCATGTTGCTGCTGCTTCTATCTTCCCCTTGCTTCCTGGCTGCAGTGTGGGTGCAGCTTCCAGCCAGCGGGGAACTGAGCTGTGGCTGGGCAGCTTCCAGCTGCACCTGCACCACAGCTGTGGGAGAGGAAGAAGGCATACGCAGGGAGAAGTGGCAGCTTTCAGCTGTCTGGCCCTGACTGTTCCCTGCTGGCTGGATGCTGTGCCCATGCTGCAACCAGGAAGAAGCCATGGGTGCAGCTCCCCATCTGACTGGAAGCTGCTCTCATGCCCTACATGTGAGTGAGGAGTTGGGAAAAGTGGTAGTGGCACTGGCATAGCTCCCAGTTGCGTTAAGTGTAACTATTAGGAAGAGCCAAATTCAGTTGTGTTCTACTTGTTTCATAAGTAGCTTGCTTCTACATTTGGGGAACTTGCTTCCTTTAAAAAAACAAAAATATCAAAGATCATTACCTGTATGAAGATCTTAGTAATGAGCATTTTGGTGAGCTGTAGTGAAGATAACTGATTTTTAACTGATCCCTTGAGCTCTTGTTTTGTAGGCTTCAGATGCAGAGTCCCGTGAAGGCTTGATAAAAAATCACTACATGGCAAGGATAGCAGACCTCACTTCCCATCTACAGCTTGCTGACAGCAAATCAGTGCACTTTCACGCTGAGGTGAGCATGCCATCAGCTTGCTGCTTTCACAATGGGCGATCCTTTCTGCATGAGTAGCAGACTCGTAATAGGTGGTGTGAAACTGGCTTCTGAAATGTATTCTTTGGTTATACAAAAGGTGAAACTTACTGAGTCACGTACCAGGTTGCTTATTTCTGAAAAAAACATAAATTGTCTTAGTCTGCTAGTCCATTATATTTAATCATGGACCTATCTGTGTTACTTCCTAATGTATTATTGTAAACCTTGTTTGCTGTTTTGTTTTGTTTTTAAGTTACCAAACCAGTTCTTGGTTTTGTGGGACAAACCACAGCCTTCAAAATTTTTTTGGCAGCTTGATGGTGGAATGCTAGAACAAACTTTCTCACCCTAGAATCAGACTATTATACACTGTAGACTGATTAACTTTGGAAACTGAACTGTTTTCAGGCATTTGTTATGCTTAATTTTAAGAGCAAAAAATGTTTCTTTCTTCCTTTCTTCAATCAAGAAATGACAGCTACTCTGAACACTTTTTTGTTATGCTGATTAGTATATTCAGATGGGCCAGAAAAATGTCTGGAACATGTCCCATTGTTTTGACAGATTTGCCTTGTCAGCCTTAATATAAAAAATTATGTATATGGTAGATGAGTCTCTGCATAACGATAGTCTTCCTATAAGCTCATACGTGTATGCACTAACCTTGCATCTTGGCATCTCGCTATTTTGAGCTGAGATGTATCTATATATAAAAATATAAAAAAACAAAAAAAAAAACAAAACAGATTGTGCCCATCTAAAATGTTTTCTGGCAACAATGTCTAATATTAATTTTGCAAAATTTAATAGGAGCACAGCACTTACCTCAAATAAATAAAACTTATTTTTTAATAATCTCAAATGTCATAGCTTCTCTTTATAATATTAAATAAATCACAGTATTGCTGTGTGAAGCTCTACATGCAGGCTTCCTGAAATATGAGATTTTGATTTACCCAGCTCTACAGAAGTTCCAAAATAGACCTATTAAAAACAAAACAAAAAAACCAAGGTCAAATAACAGGCTAGATATTAAAGATACTTTTAGGAGCTAACTTTTTCTTTTTCTAATTGACAGTGCCGAGCACTTGCCAAAAGGTTATCTTTAGCTGAAAAGTCTAAGGAATCGCTAATGGAGGAGCTGAAATTGGCCAGTCAGAACATCAGCAGGTTACAGGCAAGTGGAATATTAGCAGCATACTGTAATGGATGAACTCTGGGGCAGCTGTGGGTGGAAAAGCCATGAAAAGCAATTTTAAGTATGGCAATATTTGGAGTGGTGAGTGTGAAAACTGTAATGGGACATGAGTAAATTTTTTTTAAAGAACAAATTTAACTTATGCACATAATTACAGTTTAGCAAAGATGAAGTGAAATTATCTTTTGGTGTCCGTGTCTAAGTTCATTTTAAATAACCTGGCTCATTTAGATATACAGATGTCGCAGACAAACACTGGTTTTGCACCATTGTTCCATGGGTTCCTTCCAGACTAGGTTTTTGTTTGTAAATCCAAGCAGCTTGGTCACTGGGAAAAGCATTATGGAAAATCTATATGTAAGAGGGATGGGCAAGTATTTGGGCTTGTGGGCCACAAGGAGTTTTGGGGAGCTGTCGCAGGCCATGTCAGCAGTGTACGCCACTCCTCCCCCAACAGCTTACCAAACCTCCCTTTGTGGGATGGAGCTGTGGGCAGGGATGGGGAGCTGGCATGGGCATGGGTGGGAGCTTCAAGAGGTTCAACCTCTGGCCTGGCTGCCTACCCCAAGGAGGGGCTCAGGCATATGCCCTGATCCCTAGTGGAACCCTACCAGCTGTGTCCACAGCTGATGCCAGTGCCTGCCTGGCACCACTTCCAGCATGTGGGAGCTGGTGTTAAGTTTTTCAGGGATGTGCTGTGGGGCGAGGTGGTTCTGCCCACAGTGAGCAGCAGTGGCTGGTGCTGGGTGCCAGGCAGAAGGATCCAGCAGTGGGCATGCTCTCCACTGCTAGGGTCCTGGATGCAGCTGCCTGGAGTCCGCAGGGCAACGCTGATGGCAGTGGTGGGGAGAAACTTCAGGGCAGCCCTGGCACGGGAGGCAGAGCTGCCTCTGTCACCCCCTGCCCCACACCTACAACATATCCCCACAGCTTACACCAGCTCCTGGTCCATGTGCTGGAAGCAGCACCAGGCAGGCGCCGGCATCAGCTGTGGATGCAGCTGGTAGGTTCCCACTGGGGATTGGTCTGTCCCCCTGTATCTACAAGTGATGCTGCTGCATCAGTGTCAGCTGTGGTCCCAGGCAGTCGTCCTGATTCCCAGCGGGAATCTGCAGGCAGCGTCTGCAGCTGATCCTGGCGCTCCTCTGGTGTACAGGGCAGGAGCTGGTGTAAGCTGCAGACAGGACTGGGACATGGCTGCCTGGCATGATGCAACAACCAGAGCTGCTGGCTCCTGGTGGGTTGGATCCTATGGCTTTGCAGCCACTGACCTGTGGGTCAGATGCATTCAGCTGGCAGGCTGGTTTCAGCCTGCGAACCATATTTTGCCTGCTCGTGATCTGTGAATTCTTGTAAGTAAAGTCTTGCTTCCACATCACATGCCTCATCAAGGTACTACCAGCAGCTTGCTTGCTGCTTCAGACACAAGCTACTATGCTCAGCCAATGCTTATGGCTCTGAGAGGGTTAACATGGGACTCTGCCGCTTCAGCTTGCTGCACCAGACACAAGCAGTGATCCTCTCGGTAGCTGCATGGCCTGCACAGTATCTCTGGATGCACTTCTTTTCTAATGAAGAAAGCAGCTTCCCTGCTTAAGATATGCCCCCCAGTTTTTGTGGGGGGCTGACTTTGTCGGGGGGATGTCTGTTGTACATAAGGAAAAATATATGGTACTCTGTCAGTAAAGCTTCAAATGTACTAGAAAGCAGCTTTAAGATGGGCTTCTCCAGTAATACAGACCCACATGTAAGAATACACAGATGCCAAATACAGGCAGTGCCTGCTAAAGACTCAGTTGAGGCCTACAAGATCTATTCAGGAGTGCAGAGGTGGGACTTTGAATTATACAGTATAACAACATAGCCTGCTTGTCAGTAGAATACTAAAGGACAACTGTTTTTTCAAATACTTTTAATACTTTACAGCCTCTAAACTTCCATGAGAATGGAAAATAACTGTCACTTAAAATATAAACACTACTTTTGCTTTTGTGTTGTCCTTTGGGCAGTAAGTGTTGCTGCAGCAAGCTGGAAAAATAGGCTCTAACATTTTGTGTTGTTACCTGTTATGTTTATGCTACCTCTTTCTTGTTTCTATCAGTGCCATTCAAAGTCATGCCCTAAGCTTCTTAAAAATAGGTGCATTTTTTAAACTAAAGGCTGTACACATCCTGTCCCTTAGACTTGCAAGGGTGAATATACAAAAGCTGCATAACGTAGACAGCTTTAGGAATGTCACTTCACATGCCTTTGTCACATCTGAACTGGAAATGTCTTTTGTGTAATGTTTTGATATCATGAAGCCTTACATGCTTTGGCTTTCACTGTCGCAACTGAATTTAAAAGTAAAATTCCATTTGCCGTGGCGCAGTCCTCGTTTGCCTTGCTGCTTGAAGATCGCATCTGATGTCAGAAGATGAACGTCAATTAGCTGTCAGCTTGAAGTATCTTTGGCACACTGCTAATGGAGGCATTTCCTGGCTCTTGTAATAGTTACTCTGGTAGCTTTTTCTCTGCCTGTAACTTGTTTAACGTTTGATGCAGAACTTAATTGAAAGTACAGTGTCTGACCTTTGTAAACAAGACTGGCATGATGGAAATTATCTGCATAAATCCGTTCTTAAAACAGTGATTCATTATTACAGTGCCTTTGTGTTTACATAAATATTAGGTACAAATGCACAGCAAACGTACTTACTGTGAGCAAGTGTTGCAGGATTGGATCATCTGCCTTTTAAAACTGACTTCTTTGTGCTCAGTCACCACCTAAACACTGCATGTATAAATTGTAAATTTTAAATTATGCTCATCTACCCAGGTTCTTGGGTAAGACACGTACACACCAAAGTTTTGGAGTGCAATGGGATTTCTGTGTATGATATTAAGACCAGTATCCTTGTGGTAGTGTGAAGTCTATTGTAAGATGAAATTTGACCACTTTCTGTGTAGTGACGAATAGACTATTGAAATCCCTATGAATAAAATGAATTGGCACACTATCTGAAAAGCTCCATATCCTTCTCCCAAGAAAATCACACAAGTTGTTACCCACAGTTACTAACACATTTTAAAAAAAAATACTTATAAGGGTACTTATAATCCTGGCTCTTAAACAATTTTAATAAATAAAGTATTTGCACTAATGAAAATGCCTAATTCCAGATTAAAACAGGTCTCAGTGGTTCTAACCATGTTCTTAATTCTGACCAGAACACGCTTCAGTCTTTTTGCACCATATGATTGAGAAGTGATGGGGAAATGGGTAATTAAAAATGCAAGGAAATAACTGCTGACTTCTGCATAAGTCATACTTCTGTTCTTCATAATAAAATGGCTTGAATGCATGGATTTGTCCAGGAAAACTTTTGTCAACCAATTTAAGTACCTGCATTAGAGCAGTGTGCCGAATATCACTGCTATTGAGCAAAATTGAAGGCTACTGTTCTTTCACTTAGGATGAATTGATGACCACCAAAAGAAGCTATGAGGATCAGTTAAGCATGATGAGTGATCACCTCTGCAGTATGAATGAAACCTTAACGAAACAAAGGGAAGAAATTGATACGCTAAAGATGACTAGTAAGGTAGGTTATCCTGTGTTCACTTTGGGCATGGGCTGCAATAGAAGTTTTTAGCCCGTGGTGCTTTAAACCAGGAGCTGGCCACCTTTTGCAAGCCATGGGCCAGAACAGTGCAGACTTGGTCCAGTTCAGGCCAGTTGGCTTTGCCCTGGCAGTGCTGGAGTGTGTGGGGGGTGGGGGGAGGGTGTCTTTTCCCACTCCCACATGGCCAGGCAGCTGGGAACTGCATCAATGCCACAACCACGTCTAGCTTCCAGACAGTAGCAATGGCGCAGCTTTCCCATGGGTGGGGAGGACCATGCATCTACACTGCTGCCGCCTCTCCCCTTTCTGCTGCTCCTCTCTCTGTCCCCCACCCTGAACTAAAAGCATAGGCACAGCTGGAAACTGCCCTGCCCTAGCACAACTCGCCACAGTCACAGCTGAGGAGGCATGAAGAAGCAGTGGCAGTGCAAACACAGCTTGCAGGTGCCTGACCCCAGCTTAGCTCCACACTGGCTGGAAGGTGCACCTATGCTACAGCTGAGGAGCAAGACTGGGAGAAGTGGTGGCAGCTCAGGCAGAGCCCTTCAGCTCTCTGGGCTGGATTCAGTGGCTCTGTGGATTAGATATTGCTGACCCTGCTCTTTAGTAAGTAGGTAGTTCCTGCTCTTAGGTTCTGGGTAGGAAAGCATCACCTTCTGTAGATTGAAGTGAACAAGAAAATCCTGGAACTTCTGCCTGGGCAGGTAGAAATGAATAGTGATTGTGGCCCATCACTTCCTTACATACTTTCTCTCTGAAGATAGCTCGTCACATCCTCCCCATATCAGCTTAGACTTTCAAAAGGAACTCCTTCATGAAGAAGCTGAGCTGCAGAGCTTTTCCCTACTGCTTAAAAATAATTGTAGCTTGAAAATCCTTAGGGAGGAGATGGGGCAGTTGCAATTAACCTGTTTATTGCTGGGATGCTTATTATGAATACTTCACTGTAGTTACAGCATGTTTAGTTCAGAGCTACTATACTCTTTATCCCTTCTCCTATCCCAGTGAACTAGCTGCAGCTGCTCCTGTTTTTCTGTTGAAATGGCACTTAGATTTACTTTTTGCAATCACTTCTTATTTCTATGTGCTGTTCAGGGCAGGGCCCTTTTCAGTCACTAAATTGTCAGTCAGGTTTAGCATTATCACCACCTATTAACAATTTTGTTTCCTAAGCAAGGAGTCTGTACTCGCTGTACGTTGGTCTGCAGCTTGGTTTTGTTACCAGTGCAAACAGAATATGAAACAAAGTGCCACTTGGAACATTTGATGCTTAATCATTATTTTTTGTGGTGGGGAGTAATCTGGTGCTATGGAAGCTTTGTCCTTGTGTGTATATATAAGGCAATTAATTCAGTATTTCTGGGGAGGGGCAGGGAGGTTAGGGGTAGAGCATGCCATTTGCTACACTTGTGGAAGTCTGGGAGTGAACACGAGCTGAAAGTGAAACCAGTAAAAGTGACTACAGGGAGTTTGAATGCAGCTATGGGTTCCTTCCCTGCATCTAGAACCTCATGTTTTTCAGATATTTGGCTCTGCATAGTTTTGACTTAGCAGCATAAAAAGTTTCTTTGACATTTGTTGGTTTTGGCATGTAATGTCTTGTAACTTTAAACGGACGCTGTCAAGTCAATGTGGAACTAACATTGAGGTTTTAGAAAAGCATGTTTGCCTAAAAGATTTTATTGAGGTTGTCTTACATTTTGTGGGAGGTTTGGTTTAGTTCATTTGTTTTTTGTTTTTTAAAACATTCCAATAGGCATGCTGTCTCTCTGAATATTGCTTTTTGGGACATTTTATGTGCCTGCAAAACAATTTTGAACCTAATTGAAAACAAAAATTAAGTATGTGTTGATCTATTTTTATTGTACAGTTCTGATATAGGGACAAACAAAAAGTACACACAGCTAAAACACTAGTTAAAAAACAACCAACCATACTTTACTACTGTAAGATCTGCCTAATAAGATGCAAATCTCTGAACTAAATATGAATTGTAAAATAAGTGTTCCTTTAAACAGTGTTGCCTTTAAGAGGTTTCACAAATTTACAATGAAATCTGTTTTTTAACCTCATATAAATGGCCAGAATATTAATATGCCCTGTAATTCAGTTTTGGAAGCATATAGTATGGCACAAATGTATTTAAAAAAATAACCTCCCCCTAAAATAGTTACGGTCTCTCTAGTAATTGGATTTTAAATTACCTAAAATATTTGAAACCTTTCAAAAAGAAAAATCCTCAGCTCCTCATATTTTAAAAGGCCACAATTTCACTTTAAAAATAATCTCATTTTAATGAGAAGATCATGAAACTGAAAGTTAAATTTGGGGAGGATTTTATTTCCAGGTCAAATAAATATTTTCTCATTAGGGAAATAAAGGACCAAACTCTATCAGCAATTAACCAGTTTTCTTTTAAAGCAGAAACTGTAAACCCCTAAAAAACCACTTATTTATGAATAAGGTGTTGTCAGTGATTATTGTAAGTGACCAATTGAGTCCTTTCCTTTTCCTTTGAGAGGATTCTGCTTTTACCAAAACCAAAATAGTAAAGGTTAATGTTTTCTGGAGAAAAACTGAGAAGGAAGTTCTCCATTTAGGTCATTTGGCATGTAGCCTGTAATACAGAAGCTTGCGGACAGTCTTTTTTTTTTTTAATCTTTTATCTTTTTTTTTCCAAAGTCAGAAACTATATTCTTGTGTAAGTATCCTATTTTTCTGTATGTTTTTCTCTAAACTCATAGTGAATTAGGGCTCCATTTTTTTCTTCGGCTTTTGTGGTTATTATGAATTTTCTAACATAATTTTTTTGTGCGTTATTTTTTCTCTTGCTACAGGGAAATTCCAAAAAGAACAAAAATCGATAGTTTGTGGCCAATCAGCTGCCTCTCAGACACTGTTGCTGCTGCTGCACAGAATTTGCAGATGCTGAAAATCTGTCTAATCTTGTTAGGTCTTTACAGGAAACAGATGATATTGGACCTAGTGATTTGATGTTTATACGTGAGTTTGAAACAATTAGAACTTGTAACCAGTAAATCAAACAGTTAAATGTTGTCAGTAAAACAAAATTTACACTCCATTAGGACTTACCTTAAGTTTTTACAGTGCCCTTTTTCAAACTAGGTTTTAATTTCACGTAATAACTTGAGAAACTTTTGTATATTTTCCAGTTCAATTATACATTAACCAGTTTTCTGTCTGTTTCTGGGTAAAGGTCAACATGTGAGCATCCATACATTCAGTTACTTGTTGAAAGTAATCTAAAGATTCATTAGAAAACTACTTTTGGCCATGCAAGCTGTGCAGTTATTGTAAATTTTATTGCCTCTTGCTCTCAAATTTTCTGGAGTAACTGAGTTGGTTGCTAAAGGAAGCTCAAATCAATAAATTCATGCTTGAAGTAAATGGGTTTGGTCTTGTCTTGGTGTATATTCAGCGATGGTAACTCCAGTTCACCACATTTAGGGGTCTGGGTTTTGAACTTAAGAGCATAAGTAGCTCAATCAAGGAGCTCTTGAAATTTTTCTCAAAGGACTTGTTTAGGGCATGTTTTAATTTTGAAACATACTGACATAAAGTAGCTGGAGAAGATGTGAACATAAGATGTTGAAAAGGAATCAAAATCTCTTTTAACTTCCTCTCAGCAGCATAACAGCAGGCAGGCTAGGTCAGTCTGCTACTCTACTGCAACAAAGAAGGGTCTATTATATGCATAGAAGATTTAAACACTGAATTTGCAGACGAGTTTAAGGCATTTTATGGCATTTTTGAAATTTCCTTGAGGATCCCCGTTTTGAAGAAGAAAGTCTGTTTTTACATTTGTTCATAATTATGGCTTATTTGGAAGCCTGTGGATTTTGGACTCGTAAATCTCAAGATTTTGGGCACAGTGTAACACTGCAGGTTTCCACAGCATTTTTTAAAAATCAAATTCCTTGTTGCTCAACAATTTTGGGGGGTTTTTTTTGTTTTTTGGTGGGGGCTTTTTAATTTTTTTTTTTTTTTTTTT